ATATATATATATATTCCTTGGAAAGCACCCTTTTATAGTGATCATTACATTTAATTTCTATTATTGCGCTCTTGTTAGCCAAAATTTTCAATTATTTTAGCGAAAACTACCTTTTGGTTCCTGAGATTTTGGGAACAATTTGCACTTGTCTAGATTTTAAAAACATAACAATTGATACTTGAAAAAATTTAGAAAACGAGTTCTATCAGATGAGAAAAATTTAACAACTAATTTTAATCAAGTTCAAGCTGTATTTGTCACTTCCAAGATCAATAGCTAACGGAGAGATATTAGTGTAATACCGAAGGGCACTCGGAGCTTAAATGTAGGGCTTTCAATAACACAAACCAAAGTAAAGAAAGATTTACATTTATTCCACTCAATTCTTATGTATTTACTTATCCAACTGCTAAACTTAAATTTTTACATGCATACCATCTTACCTATGCATAAAAAGGTCTATCTCACTTTTTACAACCTAAAATGGTGGTCCTTTTGATGTGATTTGAATGATTTGGGTAGCATAAATGTATTAGATAAAGTTTAGGTGTTAGATGTATACATAGGAATTGGGTGTTATGTGTATAAATTTCCCAAGAATAAATGGACGGGCCAGCGGATAATGATCATGCTGCTACAATTTTGATTTGTATTGCATAGCTTAAATCTTAGAAATCAACTTCTATTACTTACGTCTTTAGTTTATCTTGATGTTTAGGTATTTTCAAATAGGAAAAATTCATTATAGAAACTAATACTGATAGACTAATTTACTTATCAGAGAGCTTCTTATACTATGCAAAATTTTACTTAAGTGAGATTGAATGGAGCGGCATGCTATCTCATTTGGTGCCACCACTTAAATTATAGAAAGATTTACGTACATGCACTTAATTCCTATGTATTTACATATCTAACCTCTAAACACCATGCGTATTTTTGATGTGATATGAAAGACCTTGGTTGCATAAATTTACAATGTAAAGTTTAAGTGCTAGGCATATGCATACATAGGAGTTGGTGGTATGTATGTAAATGCCCCTAAATTATACTAACCGTGTACTGCTCTTACTGATTTTTCATCTCTCATACAGATCTTGGCGGCTTTGGATATTGTTAGGCAAGGCGCTGATGTGATGCCAAGGAGTCAGCTTAACGAAGTGTTGGATGCTGAATTAGGTACACTTTGGTCGACAAAATTACTGAGTTTTGATTATGAACCAGTTGCTGCAGCAAGCATAGGGCAGGTCATTGATCTTCATCCATTTGATTTTGCAACAGTAGTGATTTATTATATATTTTAAATTTTTTTTTTTGCTTTTTTTACTGTAACATTGAATGATTGCTATGCTCGATCTTATATGGATTGCATGTTGAAATTAATTTGATCTATTCTTTGAGCGTGGAGGACTTTTGGAACCATTATGATGTTTAGGTCATGATTTTATGTGAATTTTTAAAGTTTGGGAAATTTACATTTATAGCACACAATTCTTATGCATTTACATATCTCACACCTAAACTTTCATATTTACATAACTTAACACTTTAGTGCTTTACACCTATGCATGAAAAGGTGGGATTCACTTTTAAAATGTGGTAATAGTGCTATTTTTGATGTGATATTAAAGATTTGAGTGTTGTGTGTGTAAATATGAAAGTTTAGGTGTGAGATATGCAAATACATAAGAATTATGTGCTATGTATGTAAATGCCCCAAGCTTGGAAGTTTTTTCTAATAGATGCTTTCAGCTAATGGATCTATGGAGTGATGAGAAGTGGCACGTAATGATGCAAATTTGGAATCAACGAATGTTGAATTAGCAAAAGTGCAAAAGTGCTCAACTACGAAGTTGTAGTGAAATGAGTTAGGAAAAAATAGGTCTTTGAATCACTCTATTTTGATGAAATTGTGGTCGGTTTATCCAAAATACTTAGTGGTGGTCATCGAAATTTTTGGTGATGGTATCTAGGAGGAGAGAATAAATTGGCTATGGAGAAAATTGAGAAAAAGGATATTAGTCTTTCTTTGAACTTGAAAACAACATTCTAAAGGCCTTCTATTTATAGGAAAGGGTTTAGCCATCTTCAAAAGTTTTAATTCAATCATGATATAATTGCCCCAAAAAAATTGTTATCTTAAATATTCTATCGACCTTTTATTAAATATTGAATTTAAAAAAACATTTTGATTATCTTCCTTAAAAGGTGGGGATGGCCAACATATTAGAAGGAAGTTTCTGAATGCTTATTTTGCCTTGTAGTTATCATTTTTGTTTTATGGAAATTTTTAGTTACAAAACTTACCAAAAATTACATACATTTCGAACAAAAATCCAAATCGCAATTAGCATAATTTATTGATTTTGGCGAGTCTACTGGATCATAATTTTGCATAATTTCTTTCTTTCCTGAGGTATAAGACTCTACATAGATGTATATGAAAAAAATAGCAAAACAAATCTCAAGGCAAACAAATAGTTTTGGAGCGAGGAAAGATCAATCAGATGCTTTATTGAAAACCGAAGGATTGGATGCTAACGAAGGAGTTGAGGTCGGGCAATCAGAAAAATGCGACGAAGAATTTTTTATAGAACGACGATTAACTCCAAAACTGATCGACTAGTTACTCAGTCCTGGGCCGTGTTCCAATGGAGTTAAGTCATAGCGAGTTGTTGACAGACTTCTCATCAACCAAATATATTCGCCAGCCTTATTATACTCTAATGTTCTTATAATTACCAAAAAGCCCCCCTCTCAAACCTAATAATGAGAGGCTGACTTGTAATTATATATTAAATGTGACATATTCCTATAAATACGGGGTCCATGTCATTAATAAAAGACTAGACTTTCTTTCCGTTCTCTACTGCGTCCTTTCTCTCTCTCTAACCACTTTATAGCAGAATGTTCTATATGTTGGGTGTGTTTCCCAGACATTTTCGGATTCAACATCCTTTAAGATGCGGTGAGCTTGGAAACATGCCGTCAACAAGAAGAGGAACCCAACAATAACAATAGGGAGAATCTAGTCAGAGGAACAATGTGGAAGCAGTATGCACTAAGGAGTTTATGGAAGAATTTGTCCAATAAGGCCTGCAAGATTTGAAAACTCAGATCACTAACAAAATATCATGACAATTTGAGGAGAAACTCAGAGTCGTGACTGCCTTAGGAGCTGTCTTAGTCCCGAGAGGAGAATTTGTCCCGCAAGGGGCACCTAACCCCGCTTAGGGAGAACCACCAACAAGCAATGGAGGAAGAGTGATCCGTCTACAAGAGAAGCTAGATGGCGGGCTGTACCAAGACAACGCCATATCCTCCCCTGTGGAGGAGAGGAACCAATCATTGTAGATCGAAGTATAGAGGCAGCCGGAGAACGCCTTCTCCTTGGGTTTCATACAAAGGATGGTTGGATCCTAACGACCACTTCGCGTCATACGAATCGTCTATATGCCTGTTGAAAATTTTGAATGCCCTCAAGTGTAAGCTTTTCTTCACGACATTGAGATCAACCTCATTAAGGTGGTTTGACAGGTTGCTCGTGGGGATAATCACTTATTTTGCAGAGTTCAAAAGACTCTTTCTATCACAATTTTCTAGTGCCCTGAGGCCTACGAAAAGCGGCCCATCCTTGTGGCAACCGAAGCAGTGAGCCAACGAGAGCTTGCGGTCGTTTGTTGCACGCTTTCAGACGAAACACTTGATGTCGAGGACTTGAACCCCGACATGGCTCAGGCCGCGCCGACACAAAGGGTGCGGTCGGAGAGTTTTTGTTTCGACCTCGAACTCGCAGAGCCACAAAGCTTGATTCAGATGTAGAAATGACTAACAAGTATATCGTCGTTTATGAGAATGCCCCTAAGCCCGCCGAACAGACACCAGAAGAGACCACCTCAAGGCAACAGATGGCAACCCAGACAAAGTGCACAGTTGTCCGACAACTCCCACTACAAGGGTCATCTCGACAATCACTTCACCTAGCGTCATGAGGATCAGAGACGATAAACCAAGGTCCAAAATCACCGATCATCCCACTATTGCGAAAACCACCGATATATCATGGCATAAATAGTGGACGCCATCTAAGAAAATGAGTTCTTTAGGAAAGCAACACCGATGAGGGTCAGAGCTTTTCTTCAGGATAACATAAATTATTGTAAGTATCACAGAGATCACATATACAATACAGAAGAATGCAAACACTTGCAGAGCATGATCGAGGAGCTGATAAAGAAGGGGAAGTCCCGCAGGAGGAACGACTGACCGACCCATTTACACCAATGTCATTCACATTGCGAGGTATGTGCCCGCAATCTTTGGAGGAAACAAACCACCTAGGAGGACAAGCCGAAAGAGACATCATACGGGGGAATTCTGTGCCATAATCTTTGCCTCAAACTCAAAGACCATTCATCTATTTTTTTGACCGACGAGCCCCAAAGCGAATCCATACAACGATGTCGTTTTAATAACAACTATAATAAACAATTATCAAGTAGGACGCGTCCTCATTGGTATAGGGAGCTTTGTGAATGTATATTCAAGCAAGTATTCAACAAACTAAGTCTCATTGTAGATCGGATGACTACGCCGACCGGACCGCTGTATCGATTCTCGTGCGAAAGGAAGGTAGTGCTGGGGTTGGTCGGGCTCTCGGTACGTTGGGGAGAAAACGAGAAACAGTTTACACCCACGAAAGATTTTCTCGTAGTGAATTCACCCCCAACATATAATGCTATATTCAGCCGACTGCTACTGAATGATTTCAGGCAGTGGTCTCTATTTACTATGTTGTTATTAAGTCTCTTGGAGATGGAGAAATTATCACGATCAGGGGTGACCTAAAATAGTCCTTGGTCTGCTAATTGCGAGCCATAAGCAACGTGGTGCACAATCATCTTGACATCCAGAACCCAATGGAAGGTGGCCTCGAGATCAACGGGACCACTACTGAAGTTCCGGCTGTCGAAGGAGAATCTGGTAGATGTTTTCTTATAAGTAAAGCTTTTGATGCAGGTCACAAGAAGCTGCTGGTCCAAACCTTGTTAGAAAATCGAGATATTTTCGCATGGACGGTCGTTGAGATGCCAGGCGTGCTAATCGACGCTGCTTGCCACATATTGAACGTCGATCCATTGGCTCGACCCATGAAGCAGAAGATTAGAAGCTCGACCACGACGTTGACGTGACCCATCCGAGAGGAAGTATGGAAGCTGGAGGAGGCGGGTACATTCAGGAAGTGCAATACCCTATCTAGGTCTACAATGTAGTGATGGTGCAGAAAGCTAACAAAAAATGGAGGATGTGCGTAGACTTCACCAACCTAAACTCTGCTTGCCCGAAGAACTCTTACCCTCTACCAAGGATTGATGTTATGATGGATTCGACGGCCGTCCATTCAATCCTAAGTTTTCTCGACGCATTCTCCGGGTACCATCAGATCAAGATGCATCTAGCTGACGCGGAAAAGACCTCTTTTATTACATGTGAGGGAGTTTATTATTACAATTGAACGCTCTTCAGACTTAAAAATGTCGGGAACACTTATCAATGCCTCATGAATGTAATTTTTACTAATAAAAAAGAAAGAACATTGAGGTGTATGTCGATGATTTACTGATTAAGAATCGGTCGGTCGAACAACAGATTGAGGTCTTAAACGAATTTTTTTTTAACACTTTAAAAGTTTAAAATGAAACTAAACCCACTGAAATGCAACTTTGGGGCCGCAACAGACAAATTCCTGGGGTATTTGCTAACCTCTGAAGGCATAAAGGCTAACCCGAAAAAGATACAAACACTTCTCAATATCTCCTCCCTTAAAAACACAAAATCCAAAATCTAACTGGTCAGATCACAAGTTTGAGCAGATTCATCTCCAAGTCAATTGATAAGTGCGCCCCATTCTTTAAAGTACTTAGGAGAGTTAAATGTTTCGAATGGAGACTGAAATGTGAGGAGACCTTCAGGAACCTCAAGCAGTTCATCGCCTCTCCTCCTCTCCTTCAATTCTCAAAATTGAAGGAAAAACTTTATCTTTAGTTTAGGGTCGGCCCGAAGCCGTTAGTTTGGTCTTGTCCAGAGAAGAACTCTGTAAGCAGCATCTAGTGTACTACACTAGCCGGGTTCTTAAAGGCGCCAAAGTCTGGTATCCAATAATGAAGAAATTGACCTTTGCCTTGATCATTTCAGCACAGAGGCTCCAACCATATTTGTTGGTACACCCAATATAAGTTATCACATA